ACCCATATTAAAGCGTATCTTAGACAAGCCGTCACCCAGTCAAGGCACAGAAACCCAAGAACTCCACCTTGATTTTCTATAGGAGAAGTTGGGACAGAGAGAAACTTGGACAGGGTTTCAAGATTGAGGCCAGCCCTTCGAAGCAGGCCGGGTCAAGGAAGCAGAGTTTGCAGGGATTCTTGGAATGCGGCCTAATTCTCGTTGGGTATAATAATTGAATCGTGGAAATCCAAATTGAAACGGGTGTGATAAGAAGAGAAGAGAGGAATGAGATGGGCAGATCTTCCTTTACCTTTTGCAGTAAATATAGGCCAATGTTTTTCAAACTTGGCAACTTGGAAGATAGGCGGACTTCAACTCCCAGAATTCCCCAGCCAGCAATGCAATGCTGGGGAATTCTGGGAGTTGAAGTCCGCCTATCTTCCAAGTTGCCAAGTTTGAAAAAAAACTGATGCAGATCAGTTCTGTGATTCTGTGAACCTGTGGGCCACGGCCCATTACTGGGCCGTGGGTTATTGGCCACTGGGCCACGTGAGTAGCTGGCCAGTGCACGCGTGTGCGCCCTCCACTCACGCTAGCGTCGCGAGGGCGTTAGCGATGCTGTGAGTGTCATGCAGGTGCTAGCATCGGTACCAGCGCACCCCACTCGCGCTAGCGTCATGCCGGCACTAGTGATGCCGCAAGCATCGTGCGAGCGCTAGCGACCCTAGCACGAATGGGGGGAGTGTGCGCTCACCGCTTCACCCGAGCTTCGCACAGGCGCTCATGGCCTCATTTGCGTTGCGTGCACAATCGTGGCACCATGCACCCACACCTAAAGGCACCTCCACCACCACCTCGCTGACCCAGAAAGTTGGGGACCCCTGATATAAATCATCACACATATGGCAGCCATTTTGTGACCAGGCAACATCCTGCCTCCCAGAGGTGGGTTCTAAATTTTTTTACTACTGGTTCTGTGGGTGTGGCTTATTTTGTGGGTGTGGCTTGGAGGTCATGTGACTAGGTGGGCATGGCTAGCTGGTCAGTCATTTCTGGAAGGTCCTCGCACTTACGACCAGTCCTCGCACTTACGACCCGACTCATTTGTTTGCTTTTAACACTGATCAGCTGTAGGAGGGCCCTTTGAAGCCCCGTGGCAAGAGTTTAAACAGTTTTTTTCCCTCTAGTCATCAGCTGGGACTCAGGAGGCAGCAATAGATTGGGGGTGGGACCAAATAAAAGGTAAGAATAACGTGGGGGGGTGGGGGGTGGGGGGGCGGGGGGAAGAACCGGTTCGGTGACGTCATATTGTCACTGCTACCGGCTCGGCCGAACCGGACCGAACCGGGAGGAACCCACCACTGCTGCCTCCCCATGTGAACCCTAGTGTGCCATTACTTAAGCTTCAAACATGCCCCCTGACTTGGTTGCACTTCTCCTTCCTTGCAGGTCCATATCAAAACCATGCCAGCCTCCACCTATCGTCTTTTAACTGGCCAGGAGCAACCCATCTTCCTCTGATGGGCCCTGCCTTGGCCACTGGCTTCCCGTGTCCGCTTCGTAAGCTTGCTGCACTCCCAAATCTGAAGCCGGCCTCTGGGCTCAGTGCCCCAGATTCGCAAGAGTTTCGTGACTGTTTCTGCTGCACGAACCATCCAGCCAAGTTTGTTGTTGGTTTCCTTTGCTGGGGACAATTTATCTGGGGTGTGAACTTGGAGGTTATGCCTATTGCTTGAGGTTGGCTTCTACACTAGAAAGCAAGAGATATTGAAGATTGAACCTTACACTACTGTGCTGACCCTGACCTAGAATGGATGGATTAGACTCTACCACTTGCAGGGGAGACCTGAACCAATGTGGGTGGATTAGACTCTACCACTTTCAGGTGAGACCTGAACTAAACTGGGTGGATTGGACTGTACCACTTGCAGGGGAGACCTGAACTAAACTGGGTGGATTGGACTGTACCATTTGCAGGGGAGACCTGAACTAAACTGGGTGGATTAGACTCTACCACTTGCAGGGGAGACCTGAACTAAAGTGGCTGAATTAGATTCTACCACTTGCAGGGGAGACTTGAACCAAAATGGGTGGATTAGACTCTACCACTTCCAGGGGAGAGAAATGGTGCAGGTTGGGAAGAATTCCTTATTATTATTTTTTTAAAGTCCTAAAGATTGCAAAGCAGGTGGAAGTAAGCTTTATTTCCCAAGCTGTTCTCTTTTACAGAGCCTTTTTTCCTTAAAAGAAGGGAAATACGAAAATATAGCATTTGGTAAATGCTCTTTGAAGTGGTTCAGTCCAGAATCAGGTTCCTTGACATCGTTGTCAAGATCTCCTGGCAAATTTACAAGATTCTGCCCAGCAAGAATTGGGGTACATAGCCTACTCTCCCTGGCAGTGTGGGATCCTACTCCCAAAATTCATTTCTGCAGTCATACAAGTCTGGCTTTTGCCCCTTAGAAATCAGAGCAAACTCTCCTGGTGTCTGGACTTCAACATACTGCTAACAATTGTATAAGTTGCTTTAGAGCTATTGTATGATTTTTTTTAAAATTTAAACTACTAATACAAACTTTGAGATGACCAAAATACTAAAATTATTATTTCCCAAAGCAGATCAGAGAGGGAGAAAAAGTGGGACTAAGTGCTCTTTAAAAAAAAAAAAAAAAAGTCACTCTATTCTCCGCACACCAAAGATTAGAGAAATGAATATTATTTGCTGTTTTAAAGCGTCTTCTTGCTCTCATTGGAGAATGGGAAGAGTTTGTAAGAGTTGACACCTTTTGGCAAGACAATCCACGTTAAGCAGCCTTAACTGCTCAGGCAGCTGAAGTTTGAACTTGTTTTGTAAATGTTAAAAGTAATAGCAGAATTGCAAACGTCTCTCCAAAAGCTTTCAGAAATGTCTAGAAAGTCTTAGAAACTGCATTAAGTTCTGGTTTGTTTTACCGTATGTGCTAAGCCTGGGTCAGCAACACTCATGTCCTGGCTCCCAGTTCCCCCTCCAAATAATAATAATAATAATAAAATCCACCATGTTGTGTTTGCATTCTTGTCCATATTTTCTTATGATATTTGGGTGATTTTGTAGAATTCTGGTTTTTTCTTTTTTCCCTGGGACTCTTATCTTCGGGTCTGTCAATCTGCTGACCTCTCTGTTACGTAATAAACAGGGGTGGGTTCCTGGGGGTTTGGCAGGCTTTCGGGTGATCCACTAGCTAAGGATCGCTAGGGTTCGGCAAACCCCCAAATGCCACCCGTGGCTGGCCACGCCCACCCCTCCCCTCCCAGGAGTCTTCACGCAGCCCATTCATCATTCCAGGTAAGTGCAGGGGCTGCGCGGAGGTTCTGGGAAGGCAAAAAATGGGCCTCCTGGCAGTTCCGGAAGTTTGTTTGTTTTTGTTTGTTTTATTGGATTTATATACCGCCCTACTCCCGAAAGACTCAGGGCGGTGAACAGCCACAGAATAAAACACCTAAATACAAAAATTTAAAATAGAATAAAAACGAATTAAATAATTTGGCTGAGACAAATTTAAAATACCGGACAGCTAAGTCCGGAAGCAGGCCTGTTTCTGGCCTCCGGACTTTGGGGGAAGCTGTTTTTGCCCTCCCAGAGGCTTGAGGAAAGCCTCCGGAGCCTGGGGAGGGCGAAAAAGCCCTCACCCCACCGCCGTGGTACAGGCGGCCGACTAGGCCACACCCATCATGACCACGCCCACCCGGCAATGGGGCAGCGAACCCGTTGCTAAAGGATCTGAAGCCCACCCCTGATAATAAACCATGGTTAAAAACCACAGTGGCTGAATTCACACATTGCACTGCAGTGAACTAAGGCAAAATTAGCCTCTGTTGTTTGAGCCCTTCCCTCTACCCCGATGTTTCAAATTCCGGATAATATAATACTTTTAACACATTGGAAGAATCGTTTCCTTTCAAAGCCTCTGAGCCACTGGATGCAATTTGTATAGGTTTTGCGTGCGTGCGAACTGTGAGGAGAGGAACTGATGCAACAACACAGCTGTTTTGAAATGTTAATTGGCATTGGGGCTAGCAACAAACACACCTTGCTTTTCTTTTCAAGCTTCTGCCAAGAGGTTTACTTCTCAAGGCTGCTGCTTTAAAGAATAGGACAACCTACTGGTTCCCATAATAGGAGCCAAAAAAAAAAAAAAATCAGTTTGGAAAAAGAGAAAGGCTAGATTTGCTCAATACAGCAAAGTCAATGGGAAAGTCAGATTCACTCGATAATCATGTTACTATAATTTAACATCCACATTGATTCACTGAACAACTATGGCAAGAGGGGTCATAAAATGGGGCAAAATTCACCCGTCTTGCTTAGCAGTGGAAATTTGGGGCTCAATTGTGGTCGTAAGTCAAGGACTACCTATATTATTTAGTTAAGCTAGTCCTTGACTTACCACCACAATTGAGCCCCAAATTTTGTTAAGTGAGTTTTGCCCCATTTTACAACCTTTCTGGCCACAGTTGTAAAGTGAATCACTGCAGCTGAGGTAATAACCCGGTTATTAAGTGAATCTGGCTTCTCCATTGTCTTTGCTGGTCAGACGGTCACATAATCATAGGGATGCTGCGAAGGACGTAACTGAAAAACGGTCATAAGTCACATTTTTCAGTGTCGTGGTAACTTCGAACGGTCACTAAATGAACTGTAGTCAAAAACTACCTGTACTTGCATTGAGTTAGGTTGTAATTGTACTGAGGTTATTAATCCTTCAGAGTGATATCAATGCCTTTTCTGCCTCCTTGACCAGTGTTTCCTCAAACGTGGCAACTTGAAGATGTGTGGACTTCAACTCCCAGAATTCTCCAGGCCAGCTGAGGAACTCTGGGAATTGAAGTCCACAAGTCTTAAAGTTGCCAAGGTTGGAGGCCCCTGGTTTAAATTAACAAAGAGACCACAAAATATCTTGCTTTTTTTCCCCTTCCAAATGAGCGAGTTGGTCAGCATCCCACATTTTGTCTTCTTCACTATTAGGATCCATGCAAACTTAGCTGAAAAGGAATGCTTTAATAGTACAAAAGGCACAAATGATGGACGGGCAATCCACGGCTCCTCCATCTTCACTCATCACATACGAAGAAGATTGACATGTACATTAAAGGCAATACATCAGATTCCCTCATCCCAGGCTGCTCCTTGTCAGCAGGCGCACAAAAATGCAAAAGGGGAGAGAAATCCCAAAGGGAGGTTATACAGATTTTTAAAAAAGCAATTAAGTATGCTTAATACTCTTTCACATTTTTTGATTAAAAAGGCAGAATTAAATCACCCTCTGACTACCACATTACAAATTATAAAAAAGGGAGTTATAAAATTCTAGGGAACCAGAACAATAGTGCCCCAATAAGATTTATGCCGACTTTTGACCATAATGGGCCAGCTCCATTACGGTCATAACTCGAGGACTATCTGTCCCATAAATGTGTAACCTCCCAATTGAACTTTTTTTGAAAAAAAAAAAAAAAGCCGAATCATGAACGATTTCAGGCCAGATTGAATGAGATTTTGGAGTTGTATAGTAGTCAAAATTGGCAATTTCGTAAATGTCAGCCTTAATTTGCAGTCATGTGAGATTATAAAGTAACACTTTAGGCCTGAAGTGAAAGGGTATGGAAGGGGCTCTTGACTGACATTTAGGGAATTATATTACTATAGCTGGTGATATACGCAGGGGGAAAGATTTAAAAAGATAAAACACGGAGTGTGGTTTGTAAGCAAAAATAGTCCTCTTTGGTGGGGAAAGACAATATGTGAGGTGTAGATTTAAAATTCTTGAGAAAATCCTCAACTTTGTGAATGGGCATAGAATGGTTTCTTAAAAGCATTGTGTATCAAGTTAAAACATGAGGTGGAAATTCTTCGCCTCACTTGAAGTATAGAAGTGGCCTAATGATGCTGTGTACAGTATTCCTCCATCTTGGCAACTGGAAGATATCTGGACTTCAACTCCCAGAATTCTGAGAATTGAAGTCCAGACATCTTCAAGTTAGGGTTGAGAAACATTGATGTATAGGCAACTTGAAGCTCTTTATTCGGGTTAAATGGATCCAGGATGACATTTAAATGGTTGTAAAGTCGTTCCAAAGCCATATGATGAGCTTGTTGAGATGGCCGGTGGAAACCCTTGATCTTCTAGATCAAAGGGCAGAAGTAGCTTGAACGCACCGGGGATCGAGCTTGAGATGAAACAAACCAAAGAAAGGCCGGTGGAGAGGTTCAACTGAAGACCAAACTTCCATTCAAGGTGGCTTGCTCCTCCTGGCTGCTCTGAGGTGTCCACAACTTAAGGCAAGACGGTGAAAGAGAAAAGCAACATTTCTGGAACAAGCACAAAGCTGGTCATGAGGACTTCCAGCGGCTGAAAATTTTGCCACATCCCCTAGGGCAGTGATGGCTAACCTTTTTGCCATCGCGTGCCAGGAAGGGGGGGGGGCAGGGGAAGTTCACGTCCGTGTGTGCACACACCCATAATTCTATGTGCCCCGCCCCACCCCCGCTTCTGGCACACGATGGCCCAGTAGGCCTGTTTTTCTTTCTCACTTGGCTCCAGATCCTCTCTATGCATCTGGGGAGGGCAAAAACAGCCTTCCCCACCCCCTCGGAGGTCCTCCGGAGGCCCAAAAGAGCCCGTTTTCCAACTTTCGGTTAGACAGGAAGTGACTTATTTGCTGTCCCCAGTCTCCAGAGTCTCCTAGAGAGGCTGAGAGCTGAGCCGGGATGCCAGGCAACATGGTTCCGCGTGCCACCTGTGGCACGCGTGCCATAGGTTCGCCATCATGGCCCTAGGGCGTAGGTTTTTAGCGCTCTATGAGGAGATCAAAGGCCTTGGAAGGGTTCCGCCAAAATTGGAATGACGACGACAGCTTTGCACGGCCATCCAAGAAAGTTGCAGGAGGCCACGTGGCTGTTGGTGTGGTCACAGGTCTGTGGCAGGTCCCCAGTCGTAACCATAGTCCTGGTCTGACTCAGAGTCATAAGTCTGCGCATGGGTGAACTTCTTCCGCAGCGCTTCATGTTCGTATTCCCTGACAAAGAGATGGCACAGCTGTAAATCAATGTACTGCGTGGATTTACGTATGCACATTAAATAGGCTGCATCAATAGAGGGATAGAATCAAGTTTTCGTGAAGTATTACTACCACCGTACAAAGCCTTAGTGCACCCACACTTGGAATACTGCATTCAAGAGTCTTGGTGGTGCAGCGGACTAAGTGCTGTTATGTAGCACTTAGCTGCCAGCTGCCTGCTATTAGTGCGAGTTCAAATCTCACCAGGCTCAAGGTTGACTCAGCCTTCCATCCTTCCAAGATAGGTAAATTGAGGACCTGGATTGTGGGGGCAATAAACTGACTTTGTAGAAACACCGCTTATGGGGGGCCAAAAGCCCTAATAAGCAGGTATATACAAAAAGAATGTAGGCTATTGCTATAAGTGCATTGTAAGCCGCCCTGAGTCTTCGGAGAAGGGCGGCATATAAATTGAACTAATAATAAATTTTTGGTCACCACAACATAAAATAGAAGTTGAGACTCTGGAAAGAGTGCAGAGAAGAGTAACTAGGAGTAATAGGAGCCTTGGTGACGCAGTGGACTAAGTGCTGTTAAAGTAGTACTTAGCTGCCAGCTGCCTGCAATTACTGCAAGTTCAAATCTTACCAGGCTCAAGGTTGACTCAGCCTTCCATCCTTTCGAGGTAGGTAAAATGAGGACCCGGATTGTGGGGGCAATAAGCTGACTTTGTATAAAAAAGAACACCGCTTTGGGGGAGGGGGTGAAAGCCCTACTAAGCAGGTATATACAAAAGTATGAAGGCTATTGCTTAATGCATTGTAAGCCGCCCTGAGTCTCCGGAAAAGAGCGGCATATAAATCGAACCAATAAATAAATAATAAATAAATAAACTAAGATGATTAGGGGGGCTGGAGGCTAAAACATATGAAGAATGGTTGCAGGAATTGGATATGTCTGGTCTAGTGAAAAGAAGGACTATGGGAGACATGATAGCAGTCTTCCAATATTTGAGCTGCTGCCACAAAGAAGAGGGCAGTCAAACTATTTCCCAAAGCACCAGAACGCGAGACAAGAAACAATGGATGGAAACTAATTTAGGAGAAATTTCTTGACAGTTAGAACAATTAATCAATGGAATGACTTGCTTCCAGAATGCCTATGGAGATTCTCAGTGATGGTTGACTCAAAGGTGTTTTTTCAAAAGGCAGCTGGACTTTTGACAACTGGTCCTCAAGGAAAAACAAAGACCAGTTGCTGTATGAAATTGCCTCCAGAATTTTTGAATACTCCATCACTGGAGGATTTTTAGAAGAAATTGGACAACCATTTGTCTGAAATGGTATAGGGTTTCCTGCTAGAGCAGGGGGTTGGACTAGAAGACCTCTAAAGTCCCTTCCAACTCTGTTGTTCTGTTTTCTGCCCTACTAATAGGCCTTGAGATATTTGACCGGAATTTGTCTCCTAGACAATGCATACTACTTTTTCGAACACCAGATGCAAACTTAGTGTCAGGTTTCGATATCGTCTTCAAATAAAATAGATTGCATTTCCAAACAGATAGTCTTTGAAGAAATCTTTCATTTTATTAAGCACGACAATCTGCCCCCGATCATGGCGTAGCCAACTCTGACTTCCTGACCCCAAACCCTCCTTTTCCGTTCCCCAAATCTCTGTGTCTCATTGGCCTTTTTCCAAATCACTCTCCCCATATCTACTACTTAAGCTCCCAGGAATGTCCCCCCTCCCTCTCATCTCCTAGGGGATATTATCTTCAAGGAAAATAAGTAGGTGAAATGTCAAGCGTGCTCTTGCCAGCTGCCCCCTCTTCTCCTTCTTATGTCAGCACTAGAGTAAATGCAGGTTGAAGTGCTGACACTTAGAATGCAGTGGATGGGTTCACACAACATGTTTAACCCACTTCAGCACCAATCCAGATCAGCCATCTTAGTAACTCATTCTCACTTGCTGGGTCAAAAGTCACTACACTTGCCTCATGAAGTGATCGGGACATCTAGATTTTCCAGGCAATATGTCTCCAGCAGGAGTTGAATTGGTTATGTTCTTTTCGGATATAATTCAAATTCTACCACATAGATGGACAGGCTGATTGCATTTTGATTCCAACTGCAGCCTTAAGTAAATTCTCCCTGACCCATCATGAAGCTTCAAATGAGAAGTTTATACCTGATGTCATAACTGCTGTGCCACTGTCCTTGGGGTTGGTGATCACTCTCATGCTAGAAGAAAGAGAGAAATATAGATATAAGTGATATCCAGAATGTTGGCTCAAGTATTACAAATCACTTTATGGCAGGGATTTTCAAAATGTGGCTTGTGATGCAGTCCTAGAAAGGAGGAGGAGGAGGAGGAGGAGGAAGAAGAGGAAGAGGAGGAGGAGAAGGAGAGGAGAAGGAGAGGAAGAAGAAGAAGAGGAGGAGGAGGAAGGGAAAGGAGAAGAAGAAGGGGAGGAGGAGGAGGGGAGGAGAAGAGGGAGGAGGAGGAGAGGAGAAGAAGGAGAACGAGAAGGAGAGGAGAGGAAGAGAGGGAGGAGGAGAGAAGAAGAAGAGAGAAGAAGAGGAAGGGGAGGAGAGGGAGGAGGGGAGGAGGAGAGAGGAAGAAGGGGAAGGGAAGGAGGAGGAGGAGGAGGAGGAAGGGAGAAGAAGAAGGGGAGGAGGAGGAGAGGAGAAGAAGGAGAACGAGAAGGAGAAGGAGAGGGAGAGGGGGGAGGAGGGGAAGAGGAGAGAAGAAGAGGAGAGGAAGAGGAGGAAGAGGAGGGGAAGGGGAGGAGAGGAGGAGAAGAGAAGAAGAAGGAGAGGAGGAAGAGGAAAGAAGGAGGAGGAGAAGGAGAACGAGGAGGAGAGGAGAAGGAGAAGGAGAGGAAGAAGACGAGGAAGAGAAGAAGAAGAAGAATTACATTTGTGTGCCATCCAATTTTGAGTGACTCACAACAATCAAGCAAAGAAATTAGAATGAATTCAAAACTATTAAAGTGACAAACCATTTTGGAAAACGTTGCCAATGAAACAGCAGGGATTTGTCTGGCTAGTGGCCAGATCAGGGCCTCGAAGGCAGAAAAATAAATGAAGAGGGCGAACTAGTATGCTAGACTAGTACATCACTTTTAGGAATCCCTTCCAAAGCCAAACGGCTGACTCTCCTTACCACGTCAATGGGGTAGGCCAATGCAGCTGCCACACGTTCGTCCAGCTCCCGATCGAGGTTTTGTTCTGCTGGCTCTGATGAACGACTCAGAGCTGCCTCTTGATAGGGCTCGTCTAGATCCTGGTCTGTGTAAGGTTCTCCTTCTGCGTCCGTTTCCTCATAATCACTGTTGGCCCGACTGTCACAAGTCAGGTCACCCATACTGATGGCCGAGGTCTGGTTTAATATGTCCAGACTCTCCTCAGCCGAAGCATCCACCTGAAGAAAAAAGGAGTGGAAAATTACAGAGTAGGAAGCAGATGGATGTTTGAAGGAAGGAGTTTGTACTAAACCAGATCTTGTGGAACAGGGATCCCCACCCCTGGGCCACGGACCGGCACTGGTGCACGGCCGGCCAGGAACCAGGCTACAGAAGCGAGTGAAGCCCCATCCATGCATGTGTGGGATCCAGATAGTGCACAAAACCACCACCATGTGGTCCGCAGAAAAAGCGCCCTCCACGGTACCCATCTCTGGGACCCAAAGGTTGGGGGTTGCTGTTGGAGAACTGTCAACTCTGAAGCGAACCTGGCTGAAGCCATCTTGTGCGGCCTCATAGTTGCCACGAAGCCAGAGAGAGAGAAAGGAGGTGGGAAGTAGATAGCCAGGCTCCAGTCAAAACAAAATGCTTTCTTGTGGGAACCAAGGTCATTGAAACAGGTGGCCGTTGAAAGAGGAGAGGAGCCTGCCTTCCATCTTCATTGGACAATGTGATCGGTGACACCTGGGAGGAGGAGAGTTTGATTCGTTTAATTAGGTGAAAACCGTGGGAACTGTCAAGAGTTGGTTTTCACCAGCTGTGCCGATATGATGTAGCCAATAAACATATCCTTTGAGGAATCTACCTGCCTCGGAGTTATGCTTTCAATGGGTGCATTACTCGGAAGGCTGACATTTTTTTAAAAAAATTTGATTTATATGCCGCCCTTCTCCGGAGACTCAGGGCGGCTTACAATGCGCTCAGCAATAGCCTTCATCCTTTTGTATATTTATACAAAGTCAGCTTATTGCCCCCACAACTGGGTCCTCAATTTACCTACCTTAGAAAGGATGGAAGGCTGAGTCAACCTTGAGCCTGGCGAGATTTGAACCTGCAGTAATTGCAGGCAGCTGGTCTTAATAACAAGGTGCTTTAGACCACTGTACTACCAAGGCTCTAAGGACATTAAAGGACATTAAGCCAACTCTGACAGTTCCTGCTGTTTTCACCTAATTAAACGAATCAAAGTCCCCCACTCCCAGGTGTCACCAGTCACATTGTCCAATGAAGATGGAAGGCAGGCTCCTCTCCTCTTTCAACGACCACCTGTTATGATGACCTTGGTTCCCACAGGAAAACTTTTTGTTTTGACTGGAGCCGGGCTATCTATTTCCCCCTTCCCTTCCCCTTCTTGAGCTTCGTGGCAACGATGAGGCAGCACAAGATGGCTTCAGCCAGGTTCGCTTCAGAGTTGACATTGGTTGCGATAGACTTTGGAAGATGACCCTTAGCTAAAATGTTGAGCAGCTTAAGAAGTTTCGGACAAGCTAATCAAAGAAGCCCAATAAAATAAATTATTCATGTCCAATATAAAAAAACAAAACAAAAATGAAAAGCAAAGACTAAATAGAAAACTTTTGTTACCAGATAATAAATAACCTGGATTTTTTTTAAAAAACAACAACAACAACTTCCTTTGGATTAAAAAGCTAACACGTTGCACAACCACCAAATCTGGACTGCAATCTGGATTTCAAAGTTATATTACTGCAGCATTCCACATGCTGGAACCTTGGAAGCAGTTCTTATGAATCCAAAGAGCATCAGGATGGGGGAAATAGCCTTGTTGCACACAAATTGGGTTAAAATTTCACTCCACTATGAGGTGCCCACCCACCTGTTCTTCCGTCATCCAGACAGGGCGGGCCTGCTGAATTTGGATGATCTCCTTCAGGGTCTGATACCAGTTGTTGGAGCCTCCGGCGAGACTGATGGTAGCTGTGAAGAGGTGGCTGCAATACTTCTGCATCTTGGTGGCCTGTGCATAGAGACGCCGCGAACTCTTCTTGGAATCTGGCACCAGCCACTGCCTCATGGCCTTGATTCCTTGCCGGCTATCGGGCTCACAGAAGACCACAATGGGGAAATACTGCACATAATTGAGACGTTCGACGGCAGCTGGCGTGATATCTAACAATGCATGTTTATCCTGTTAAAAGGAGAAGTGAAGTGTTAGTATCGTTTTATAAAGACTTGGTAAGAGCACGCTTGGAATACGGAATCCAGTTTTGGGCGCCACCAGAGGTGGGTTTCACAGAATTTTACCACCGGTTCACCGCGCATTGAAAATGTGAATGCTTCCTTCACTCACATGCATGCCTACCGCACATATGCATGGCCTTCCGTGCATGCACTTTGCACACACGGGGAGGGGGGGGCTTGCACACATTTGCGCGGCTTAGAAAACGTGGCTAAATAGGATGGCATAGCACAGCAGGTCGCCTCGATGTGAAAAAGAGCCTTGGTAGTACAGTGGTTTAAAGCACCCTGTTATTAACACCAGCTGCCTGCAATTTCTGCAAGTTCGAATCTTACCAGGCTCAAGGTTGACTCAGCCTTCCATCCTTTCTAAGGTAGGTAAATTGAGGACCCAGTTTGTGGAGGCAATAAGCTGACTTTGTATAAATATACAAAAGTATGAAGGCTATTGCTTAACGCATTGTAAGCCGCCCTGAGTCTCCGGAGAAGGGCGGCATATAAATCAAATTAAAAAAAAAAAAGACATTGAGATTCTAGAAAGAGTGCAGAGAAGAACAACTAAGATGATTAGGGGGATGAAGGCTGAAACATATGAAGAACGGTTACAGGAACTGGGTATGTCTAGTTTAATGAAAAGAAGGACCAGGGGAGACAGGATAGCAGCGTTCCAATATCTCAGGGGTTGCTACAAAGAAGAGGGAGTCAAGCTATTCTCCAAAGCACCTGAAGGCAGGACAAGGAGCAATGGGTGGAAACTAACCAAAGAGAGAAGCAACCTAGAACTAAGGAGAAGTTTCATGTCAGTGAGAATAATTAATCAGTGGAACGACTAGCCTCCAGAAATTCTAGACAGCTCCAACACTAGAGGCTTTTAAGAAGAGGACCGTAATTTTAAACACCAACATTAAAAGTTTCATTGTATTATTTCCATCACCACTTCATTTCCTCACCTGCTTTGCAACTTGCCACACAGTGTCCAGTTTGATCACTTTGGATGTTCCTCCTTCTCTGATAACACTCTCTAGAAAAACGGAGAGAGGGAGAAAGAGAAAGGATTTGAGAATACAGCTGGTCCTTGACTTACGACTATTGGTTTAGCAACCGATCAAAGTTACAACACTGCTCAAATAGTGAGTTGCAACCAGTCCTTGCACTTATAACCATTATCAGTGGTGGGATTCAAATAATTTAACAACCGGTTCTCTGCCCTAATGACTGGCTGGGTGGGCGTGGCCATGGTGGTGACAGGCAGCACTCGGCCTCCTGTAACCTTCTGGGAGCAAAAATAGGCCACAGGGGGGAATGCACTGCCCCTCCATGCCCCGTTTTGGGCCTAGTAGGCCTCCCTGCAGCCTCCTGGGAGCGAAAATGGGCCGTGCGAGGGGGGGGCATACTGCACACACACCCGCTCCCCATTTTGGGCCTAGTAGGCCTCTCTGCACTTACCTGGGAATCAAAATGGGGCAGGTGGGGACTCCTCGAAGGGACGGGGAGGGGAGTGGCGGGGCCAGCCAGCAATTTAATTACCGGTTTGCCTGAATCGGCCTGAACCGGATGAATCCCACCACTGTTTGGGCTGAGGAATTCTGGGAGTTGAAGTCTTAAAGTGGGAGAAGTCTTAAAGCCATCTTAAAGCGGCCAGAGTTGAAAAAACACTGAACTCCAGGGGATTTCAAGGCACCGTTGGAGCAGTGGAGAGTCCCAACGGGGCTGAGATTCACCAGGTAGGAAATGCTGCTCCTCGTCACTGAAACCCAAGCACACTCACCTGCAACCTGAAATTGATCTGGCATCTCCGTGCTCAGTTTCTGCATGGCGATGTCAGCAATTGGGCCCAGGATCACCACAGGACGCTTAAAAGTGGCTGCATGAGAAAAGACACCTTGTAAACCAAGTTTCTAGTCCATAAGAGATTAGGAGAAAGACATCAGAGGAAGTATTGCCTTCTTTTTTTTTTTTCCTTCTCCTTTTTTTTTTTTTTTTTTTTTAGGGATTGGCACCCTTCAAAAAATGATTTATCAGCGCTTAAAGCAGCCTAATATTTTCAGGGTTATGTGCAAAACTGAAAAAGGTAGCCAGGTAGTCCTTGACTTGCTAGCATTTGTTTAGTGACCGTTTGAAGTTACAACAGCACTGGAAAAAATGGCTTATGATCATTTTTCACACTTATGAATCTTTGCAGCATCCCCATATTTACATGATAAAAATATGGCTGCTTGGCAACCCAGATATTTTCACGATAGTTACATCATCCCAGGGTCATGTCATCACCTTCCAAGATGGCTTCCAATAAGCAAAGTCAATGGGAGAAGCTGGATTCACTTAATGAAAGTGTGACTCACTTAACAACTGTAGAGATTTCCTTAACTCTGGCAAAAAAAGTTCACAAAACAGGGTGTGACTCACTCCATAACTGCCTTGCTTAGCAATGGAAATCCTGGTCCCAAATGGCAAGACAAGACAAGGACAAGACAGGACCAGGACAGGACAGGACAAGACAAGCTTGATTGTCACTTTTTTTTGTGAACACACTGGAAACATTAAACAATATAATTCTGATGCCTGCTCTCAATATCTATGTATCTATGTATCTATCTATGTATCTATCTATGTATCTATCTATGTATCTATCTATGTATCTATCTATGTATCTATCTATCTATCTATCTATCTATCTATCTATCCTCTCTCATCTATCTGTCTGTCTGTCTATCATCTATGTATCTATGTATCTATGTATCTATGTATCTATGTATCTATGTATGTATGTATGTATGTATGTATGTATGTATGTATCTATCTATCTATCTATCTATCTATCTATCTATCTATCTATCTATTATATCTAGATATACAGATATATAGATATACAGCAGGGGTGAAATGTAACATTTGTTACTACCGGTTCTGTGGGCGTGGCTTGGTGGTGGTGGGGTAATGTGATTGGGTGGGCGTGGCCAACTTTCTTTTTTTTTTTAACTTTTCAAAGCATTTTTTTTACCACCTCTTTGGCCAAAGAGGTTGCAGAAAAAAATGCTTTGAAAAGCCTCTGATGATCCCAGCTGAGCCACGCAATCATCAGAGGCTTTTTTTTTTTACTTTTAAAAGCATTTTTTCGGCAGAAGAGGTTGTAGAAAAAATGCTGTGAAAAGTAAAAAAAAAAAAGCCTCTGATGATCGTGCGGCTCAGCTGGGCATGGGGGGGGGGGGGGGGCGCAGGGATTTTTGTTACCGGTTCTCCAAAACCACCCGCCGCCAACCGGATTGGGCGATCCGGTCTGAACCGGGAGCATTTCACCCCTGATATACAGATATATATATGTATATACACACATAGATACACACACACACACTAATCACAGACCATTTAGAATTCTTACAACAATTCTGGTTGTAAGTCGAGGACTACTTATCTGTAATGAAAAGCCTTCCTCCTTCACTACGAGAAGCACCTACCTTCCTTGAGTACAACCTTTTCGTAAGGTGGGTAGTGGCCCTGCTTGGTGAGGGTTGAAAGATCTTCCCGGCTTTTGCGCAGCATCCGTTTGGCTCCCCGCAAACCTCGGAGTTTCCAGAACTCTGCTCGAGCCCCTAAAGCACTGGAGGGCTTGGACGTCGCTTTGAGAACCGTTTCCAGACTGGCGAACTGTTCTGCCCTGGGATCAGAAAAGGCCGGGATCAGGAGGACGAGAGGTAGAAGAGGCAACCTTTTCCTTCCAGTTAAAGCAGCTGGTTAAACCAACCATGGCGGTACAACGTAAAGCCATGGCTGGAGAAGTGATTTCAACAGACTTGGGATAAATTACAACGGCACTGAAAAAGTGACTTATGACTTACAAATTTTGGGCTCCATTGTGGTCATAAGTTAGAGTGGTGCGGTGGCCTAGAGGTGGAGCTCTTGCCTCACAATCAGAAGGCTATGAGTTCGATCCTAGGTAGAAGGAGATATTTCTCTCTCTGGGCACACTGAGAATGTATCTGCTGAACAAAACTCCGCACTGGCAACAGGAAGGGCATTGGGCCATTAAAACACTGCTAGCTCCATTCAGTTGCCCAGATTCCACCCCGCAAGGGATTATGGGGTCGATAAATGATGATGATGATGATTGTGGTCAGAAGTTGAGGACTTACCTCTACCCAGTGACATAACTACTCAGTGGAATTTGCTATAACTTAGTGTTTCTTAAAAGGTGGCCCAATGATCACTGGGGGTCCATCCTCCAAAATCCCCTTAGGGGTTCGCAAAATAAAAATTATTTGCCCAATATTGAAGATATTTGCAAAAATATTAAACAATGTCACTCATATTATTTTTTATTTGCTACAAATGCAGGGTTTTCCATGGAAATTTTGTATGTTACTGTCTAATGGGTTTAATATTGTTATTTTACATTTCAATAAATAAATATTTACAAATGTATTCATTTTAATTTTTAATCTGGCAAATATTGATAAAATCCCTGCAGCCTGAAACAGCTGATGGTCAGGGAGGCCGATCCAATCAGCTGCTTGTGCTAATCAGGGTGTGCTGAAGCTGAAACGGGCTGTTTGCTGCAAGGAGGCAAATTGCTGGGAGGCAGAAGCAGAGGCAGATTTTTTTCCCTTGTTTTCCTCCCCCAAAAAAGATAGATGCGTTTTATAGTCTGGAGTGTCTTATACTCTGAAAAATACGGTAATAATGAAAGTGACATTTTTATTTTCACTTATGTTACCCCTGCTTGGAATTAATTTTTTGCACTGATTATGGAGCAGATACTCCAATAGGGACGGTTAAAATATTAATAACAGAATAACAGAGTTGGAAGGGACATCAGAGGTCATCCAGTCTGACCCCCTTGCTCAAGCAGGAGACCCTACGCTGTTTCAGACAAATGACTGTCCAGTCTCTTTTTAAAAAAATCTTTTAAAAATCAACAATCTTCCCCCCACAAAAAAGATACGCTTCTACCTGCTCCGGTTTGGGATAATGCCCTTGTCCAGCTCTTGAAATTCCTTTCCCATCCGCAGAGCCAGCCAGCTTCCCAGTTTGCCCCGATACATCGTGTCCACCACATGGAAAACTTCTCCCCGCGTAAAGCTCAGGGCGGAAGGCGTATCCTTCTCAAAATCAAAGTGGGTGCGGATGTAGAACGAATCTCCCAGGTTGGATTTGACCATCTTCTTGTAAACTAGGGAGAAGAGACCAAATGGGAAGCCGTCATTCCCCCTCAGCCCAGCCTACCTTACAGGGATATTGTTACACAGATTTTTTTTTTTTTTTAAAGGGAAGAATTCTCCACACGTGACTGTTTGAAGTTGATGGAATTTTGGAATACCAATAAAGCACAGGCGGGCAATATTTTTTTTAAAGGCATGTATCCATATATCCATCTTTCCATCCATCCCCGTTTTTATCCATTCATCTGCTTTTCAGGAATCTTAGATGGCTTATCTGGCTGAGGAAAATTTGTGGAGCTGTTTCTTTTTGATAGAACGTTTAATGAAATAACAGAATACAGAGTCGGAAGGGACCTTAGAGGTCTTCTAGTCCAACTCCCTGCTTAGGCAGGAAACCCTATACCAGTGGTGGTGAACTCACCGAGTGCCAAACAGGTCCTCCCCCATGTGCTGCATGCACAACTGTACCATCTGCACATGTGCGCAGCTTTCGCACGGCTCACCCCGTGCGCCCAGCAATGCAATTGCAGCATCTGCATGCGTGGGGTTTTTGCGCACGCAATGCATGTGCACAAATGCCATCTATGCATGCACATGCTGCACGCAAGGACACTGCAAGCTCTGAAGACCAACTGGGTCCTCTGAATTGCATGCATGCGTACTGGAGGCCCGAACAGATGGCTCTGTGTGCCACCTCAGGCATGCCTGCCATAGGTTTGCCATCATGGCCCTTATACCATTTCAAACAAATGGTTGTTCAATCTCTGCTTAAAAACTTCCCGTGTTGGAGCATTCACAACTTCTGGAGGCAAATTGTTCCACTGATTAATTGTTCTAACTGTCAGGAAATTTCTCCTTAGTTCTAAGTTGCTTCTCTCCTTGATTAGTTTCCACCCATTGCTTCTTGTCCTGCCCTCAGGTGCTTTGGAGAATAGCTTGACTCCCTCTTCTTTGTGGCAGCCCGTAAGATTTATTTATTTATTTATTTTATTTTATTTTATTTCTATACCACCCTTCTCCTGCGGGACTCAGGGCGGTGTACAGCCAAGATAAAACATAGCATATAAAATTTAAAACACAATTTAAAAACAATTAAATAATTTTGGCCCAGTTTAAAACAACCCAATTAAAACCGAATTCAATTAAAAACTGAGAGGATGGGATCAAGCCAGCCTGGCTAGATGGAATAAGTGTGTTTTCAGGGCCCGACGAAAAGTCCGGAGGTCTGATATCGTGCGTATCTCAGGGGGTAGATCATTCCAGAGGGCAGGTGCTGCCACAGAGAAGGCTCTCCCCCTGGGGGTCGCCAGCTGGCACTGTCTGGCTGACGGTATCCTGAGGAGGCCCTCTCTGTGCGAGCGAACCGGTCGGTGGGAGGCTATTGGTGGCAGAAGGCGGTCTCGCAAATACCCTGGCCCTAAGCCATGGAGCGCTTTAAAGGTGGTCACCAACACCTTGAAGCGCACCCGGAAGACCACAGGAAGCCAGTGCAGCTCGCGTAGGAGAGGTGTTATATGTGAGCGCCCCGTCGCTCCCATAATCCCCTGCGTGGCCGCATTCTGGACCAACTGCAGCCTCCGGGTGCACCCCAAGGGAAGACTGCTATCATGTCTCCCCTAGTCCTTCTTTTCATTAAACTAGACATACCCAGTTCCTGCAAACTTTCTTTATGTTTTAGCCTCCAGTCCCCTAATCATCTTTGTTGCTCTTCTCTGCACTCTTGCTAGAGAGTCTCAACATATTTTTTACATCGTGATGACCAAAACTGGATGCAATATTCCAAAAGTTTGAGGGTGTTAACTTGCCTATAACCACATTCTCTGGTAGGAAATATACACACATATGATAGGAGGGGAAGGAGGGACATAAAATCTACCAATGAGGAATAAATCACTTACTGTCCTGTTTGTTCTGAACGTGGAACGTCACTTCTTCCCCTGGGAGCAACTCCATCAAGTACTGCACAGCGTCCTCACGAGTCGAGTTCTGGAAGGGCTTCTCATTCACCTGGCAAGAGAAAGGGCCAAAAGGGGGGTTTGGCCAGCAGCACTGCTCATCTCGTTTGCCCATCTTTATTGTTCTCAAAATTATTATTATTTGAGGTACGTTGCCTTGCTTCAGGAACTCAACGTGATGTCCAGAGTTGAGGTCCACAAATCTTAAAGGGGTAGCCAAGGTTGAGAAACACCGGTTTCTTTTGTAACTACATTTTATTGATCGATGGATTTGTTTCCCACTTTTATTATGGCAACGTTGTGGCTCAACGGTTAAGAGGCTGGGCTTGTCGACTGGAAAGGCCAGCAGCTCAGGTTCGAGACCCGAGCACCACATGACAGGGTGAGCTCCCGTCCTTGTCTCAGCTCCTGCCAACCTAGCAGTTTGAAAGCATGCAAGTGCGAGTAGATAAATAGGTACCACTTCGGTGGGAAGGTAACAGCGTTCTGTGATGTCACGTTGGCCACATGACCGAGGAAATGTCTTCGGACAGCACTGGCTCAATGGCCTTGCAACCGGGATGAGCACTGTCCCCTACAGTTGGCAACGCTATCGGAGTAAAATGTGCAGGGAGTCCTTTACCTTTTGTTATTCTTACAACTAACTCAAGGTGGGCGAACATATCCAACACACCTTCCTCCTCCTATTTTCCCCACAACGACAACCCTATGAAGTGGCTTGGGCTGAGAGGGAGTGACTAGCCCAAAGTCACCCAGATGACTTTCATGCCTAAGGTGGGATTAGAACTCTCAGTCTCCTGGTGATTGGCCCAAAGTCACCCAGCCGGCTTTTATGGCTAAGGCGGGACTAGAACTCTCAGTCTCCTGGTGATTGGCCCAAAGTCACCCAGCTGGCTTTTATGGCTAAGGCGGGACTAGAACTCTCAGTCTCCTGGTGATTGGCCCAAAGTCACCCAGCTGGCTTTTATGGCTAAGGCAGGACTAGAACTCTCAGTCTCCTGGTGATTGGCCAAAGTCACCCAGCTGGCTTTTATGGCTAAGGCGGGACTAGAACTCTCAGTCTCTGGTGATTGACCAAAGTCACCCAGCTGGCTTTTATGGCTAAGGCAGGACTAGAACTCTCAGTCTCCTGGTGATTGGCCAAAGTCACCCAGCTGGCTTTTATTTATTTATTTATTTATTTATTTATTAAATTTATATACCGCCCTATTCCTAAGGGACTCAGGGCGGTGAAACAGCGAACGATAAAAATACATGTAATACAAATGTTAATAATAAAAAACCAATTAAAATATACTAAACATTCTGGTCCTAGATAATTCAAGACATCCCAGTTTAAAATAAAATCAAAAAGCAATATAAAGGGAAAGTTAGGCCAGGCCGGCCTGCTGAAACAGGAATGTTTTGAGGGCACGGCGGAAAGTGCGCAGATCCGGAATCTTCTGTATCTCTGGGGGGAGCTCGTTCCAGATGGTGGGTGCCCCCACAGAAAAGGCTCTCCCCCTGGGGGCCGCCAGTCGACATTTTATGGCTAAGGCGGGACTAGAACTCACAATCTTCTGGTGATTGACTCAAAGTCACCTACCTGTCTTTCATGCCTAAAGCGGGACTAGTACCTGCAGTCTCCTGGCGATTGGCCCAAAGTCACCCAGCTGGCTTTTATGGCTAAGGCAGGACTAGAACTCACAATCTCCCGCTTTCTAGCCTGGTGTGTTAACCATAAGACCAAACTGGCTCTCTATACAATCCTCCCATTACTTCTAGTCTTCTCCTTTCCTCCCATTACCTCTAATGTTCTCCTTTGGAGCCAGTAATCATCCTACACATAGGCAAGATTCCAGATCCACCAAGATCAGAGATGGTTCATTAGTCATTCCCCACCCATAAGATACCTGAAGGATCTGGTCGCCTTCTTGGATGCCTTGCATCTCAGCCGGGCTGCCCTCCTGCACGCCAGACACAAATATCCCAACGTCATTCCCGCCGGTAAGACGGAGCCCGATGCTCTTGGCTTTGACAAAACGCACCACCTTCAAATCGGGGCTATACCTGTAAAAACAGAACGCGGATGCTGCCATGCCAAAAAGAGAATAGAATAACAGAGTTGGAAGGGACCTTGGAGGTCTTCTAGTCCAACCCCCTGCTTAGGCAGGAAACCCTACACCACTTCAGACAAATGGTTATCCAACATCTTCTTAAAAACTTCCAGTGTTGGAGCATTCACAATTTCTGGAGGCAAGTTGTTCCACTGATTAATTGTTCTCACTGTCAGGAAATTTCTCCTTAGTTCTAAGTTGCTCCTCTCCTTGATTAGTTTCCACCTGTTGCTTCTTGTCCTGCCCTCAGGTGCTTTGGAGAATAGTTTGACTCCCTTTTCTTTGTGACAGTTTTATTTATTTATTTTTTTATTGGTTTGATTTATATGCTGCCCTTCTCCAGAGACTCAGCGCGGCTTACAATGCGTTAAGCAATAGCCTTCATACTTTTGTATATACCTGCTTAGTAGGGCTTTCGGCCCCCCCTAAGCGGTGTTCTTTTTTATACAAAGTCAGCTTATTGCCCCCACAATCCTGGTCCTCATTTTACCTACCTCGAAAGGATGAAAGGCTGAGTCAACCTTGAGCCTGGTGAGATTCGAACTTGCAGTAACAATCCCTGAGATATTGGAAGACTGCTTTCATGTCACCCCTAGTCCTTCTTTTCATTAGACTAGACATACCCAGTTCCTGCAACCGTTCTTCATATGTTTTAACCTTCAGTCCCCTAAGCATCTTTGTTGCTCTTCTCTGCACTCTTTCTAGAGTCTCCACATCTTTTTTACATCATATCCTGCTGTCGCTTTATCAAATTCCATATTAATGATGCTTAAATGAAGAGTCTGCCAGTCTGGAGCTTACCCTGAAAGCCCATCATTTTGCGTAATGGAATTATTCCTTCGGAAACTGTATTCATTGGGGGATTCTTTGGGATCTAGAAGGGGGAGAAAGAACCCATTGAATTATTTATTTATCGTATGGCGCATTCACCTCACATTTCGATAAAAACACAAGAGATAAAAATATGCAGCATGAAATCTAAAATACAGGTAGTCCAAAGGAGAGAAGATACCTAGTGATGATGAAGTTATTAAGAAAATTATGGAATGTGCTGAAATGAGTAAATTGACATTTGAAATTAGAGAACAGGAAGACAAACACTACTATTTGATATGGGATTTGTTTTACCAATGGCTAGATAATAAAGCATGGAGATGAAGTATGAAATATGAAATTAAGGTAATGATAAAATATATGAAATGTTTTCTTATGGGAGTTAAGCCTTTGTTAAATAATTGTTAAATGGGAATAATAATATAAAGGGATATGTATAGTTGTCAAATAAGAGAAATTAAATAATTTGTAATTTTGGATATGGGATTATGCATAAAAAAATCTTAACCAATCGACACACTTTTTGTGATTGTATTGAATGATGGTATTTTTATGTTTAAAAATATTTAAAAAAAAAAAAAATTACAGGTAGTCCTCCACTTACAACAGTTCATTTAGTCCCCCTTTGAAATCACCACGGCACTGAAAAAAGTGACATATGACCATTTTTCACACTTACGACCGTTGCAGCATCCCCACGGTCACATGAAATTCAGACAGTTTGCAACTGACTCATATTTATGACGGCTGCAGTGTCCCGGGGTCATGTGATCCCCTTTTACGACCTTCTGACAAGCGAAGTCAATGGGGAAGCCGGATTCACGTAACAACCGTGTTACTAAGTTAACGACTGCGGTGAGTCACTTAATAACTGTGACAAGAAAGGTCGTAAAATGGGGCAAAGCTCCTTTTTTTCAGTGCCCACTGAACGGTCACTAAACAAACTGTTTTAAGTCGAGGACTGCCTGCATAATACAGCAGCATGATACAGCAGAATAGAAGAGGAAGAACGGGAGAAAATCACAAGATACAAAGACCTGCAATTAGAAGTAGAACAACAGTGCCAAAAGAAAGTAAAGATAGGTATGAATAGCAATAGGGGTCTTGGGTGCAATGCAATCCCAAAACATCCGGAGCACCACCTGAACCCCATCGGCATTGACCAAATCCCCATTGGTCAATTGCAAAAGGCAGCTTGACTTGGAACAGCTTACATCCTGAAGCAATATCTTCAACACCATCAAACCTCTACATCTGCCTATCTCAGGTCCTTGGGAAGGACTCAATGGGTGGCCAAAAAAGCCAAATCTAATCTAAACATCTGGCTGACTGTGCAATCAACCATAATAGTAATAATAATAGTGATGATGATGATGATGATGATGTCTGTGTTTGCAAATGATCCCAGAAGCAATTTTTCTCCTTCAAGAGACATTGCTCATTATCATTGACCTTACAAGAGATGCTAAATTCAAGGCACTTACTAAGAACTGGTGATGGAGTCAACTCTTCCATTGCTGTTGTTTCTTGTCTGCTGTAATCCCTGTTTGATCTGGTCAAGTGGGTGGGATGAGAGAACAAGACAAAACTCATAATGAAAATTTGAGGGAAACAACAATATCTCAAAGGTTTCCAGGGTATCTTTTGCAATTATTATTTAAATCGGAGGTCTCCAAACATGGCAACTTTTAAGACTTGTGGACTTCAAATCCCAGAATTTCCCAGGCACCCATGCTGGCTAGGCAATTCTGGGAATTTGAAACCTACAAATCTTAAAGTTGTCAAGGTTGGAGACCCCTGATTTATAAGAGCAATTATGGCTGGCTTATTTGTTTCCTGTTTTTCAGCCTCAGCATTATGTATTAACACAAAGAATGTTAGAATTAGAGCAGAATTAAATCCAAAATCAAATTGATAAAATTAAATCCAAAATCGGCCCAAACAATCTAGGACAGCAAAATCACTACATAAGAGGGGAACAAATAAAAGAATACATTTGACAAATCTAGGGTCATTCACAATGAGAGCCAGAAACTTGAAGAGACAACAAGCAAAAAAAGGGAAAAAAAGTTAAGTGGTATCCAATTATGATAATTAAGCAGTGATCTTACTATATCTTACTTACTGGGTGAAAAAGCCATACAGATAGTTTAAAAGAACTGTTCACACAATAAATTATTTTACAAAATATAGCATGCCGCATGTCCAATCAGAGCTATATAAATTGAATGAATGAATGAATGAATGAACGAACGAATGAATGAATACATTCAGAAAGTTATCTCAGCAGAAACAAGGCTACTATTTCCCCCTTTTAAACTGAGCCATTAAATTTCCTGATTTGTGGTAACTCAAACATATTCTTCTTCTTGTACATAAGGCTTGTCCAAAATATAATGGATTTTACAGATCTAAAGATATTCCTCAATTTACAACTGTAATTGAGCCTGGAATTACAGTGGTAACTCATTGCAGTTGTAACTCAAAGCATCATGTGACTGGATCCAATTTGTCAATATTTTTTATGGCTGTCATTAAGAAAGTGCCACAGTCATTAAACAAATACATTTTACCCAGCGGGTGCTTTTTGGAAAACTGCAAACTGGAAGTAAATGCTGGAAATGGGCAAAAAACATCATAAACTGTGATTTTGCAAACAGCCGTAATGGTGAGCTGGTTGCCTAGCACCCAAAATGTTACTTCACTGTAGTGTCTGCGTGTATGTACGTATGTGTTTTTGTGTGTGTGTGTGCTCTCTCTCTTTCTCTCTCTCTCTCTCTCTCTCTCCCCCCCCTCTCTCTTTCTCTCTGTGGTGATCATAACTTTCAAATTGGGCTGTAAGTAGCTGTTGGGTGGTCCATTATAACTTCAAACATTCATTAAGTGATCAGTAATATATTGAGGATTATCTGTAAAACATGCCTAGGTCTTGCCCTTCACTTTTCTGTCACCCTGGTTATCAATTTGCTTCTAATTCTGTGGTGGGAGAACGCGAGCAACGTGCTGGCCTAGTGGTGGAGATTCTTGCCCCCCACTCGGAAGGTTGAGAGTTCAATCATAGGTAGCGGCAGATGTTTCTCTGTCAGGGCGCAAAGAAAAAATATTTGCTGTGAACTCAGTGTGGCGTCCGGAAGGGCATCCGCCTAGTAAATACTCAGATCCATCCAGGTGCCCCAATTCTACCCCAAATTAAGGGATTACGGGGTCATAACTGTGGTGGGAGACTAACCCTAACCCTAACCCAACCTGAAGATGGCTCTAATCAACTTTTTACTACAAAGGACTCCATTTGAGAAGCAAAATGACTCTTTCCAGTGCTATGATTTTATGGTAATCTATAATTAAGCAATGCTTCCGTCAAGTTTAAAGCTCTTACTGATATCACTGTCATGAAATTTTTTGGAAAAAAGCATGATTTTTCAACATCCCAGCCATGGAATTTTCTAGTAGACTTCATCCAACAAATCCCAATCCAGGTTAGCTATTTTTAGATCAACCAGGTTACTGCCACCTAGTTGGAAATGCTAGTTTTAAAATTGGACAATGGAAAAATGCCTTTACCGGGGCTGTTAGAATTCATTTGGCCACTAGATGGTAGCAAAGAGACCCTGAAATCTCTAAATCTGTTACCATTTAACCCGGATTATCTGGATTATTTTTGCAACCGGACTATAGCATCTATAATGAGAACAGCAACCAACTAAGGTTTATGGAGAGATTCTTACTGGAGGGAATCCCTTGTTGGAGACTGAGGAGAATGTGGTGGGCTTCCCACAGGAGGGGGAGGCGAGATGTCTGAACCAAGATCAGATATATCTAAAAAAACAGAAAAGTAACTAGAATTATGCAAGGCGGACACTTTGTTCCGAGTAATATTCCTCTGCTTAGAAGCAAATGATAAATTTGTAAAAAGGACAAAGTCATAATGTGATTTGTCTGGTTGTTTTTACAAACCATTAAAGTAGTAAAGGAGTAAAGTAGGAAAGTAGGAAAAGCGAGTCCAGCTACATGATCATTGAAGGGCCCTCTTTGTTCATAATATTGTAGAAGGGAAATATGCTTGCAAATGTATCCAGCACATAGACAAACACATTCCTTTCAAGTAGGATTTGTAAAACAAGGCCCCTCAATTGTCACAGATAAAGACAGTCTGGTGATTTACACTTTGAAGGTCAGAGAGACGGAGATGACTATATTATTGTTTCAACAAGAAGATAATTTGAATCTATGCTTCAGTAATTTCTAAAAAGAATTATAATTGTTTTGCAAAGATAGTAACAAATTCAGTAATTAAGGTATGTCATTTTGTGTAACTAATGTCTGTAGTGATAAGAAATGCTGACTTCACAGAATCCTTTGTCTGACAATGTATAAAGACTGAGATCTTTGTTTCATGCTTTGTTCAGACTTTTTGGTAATGATACTGGTCTGATCCTTTTATTGCAATAAATAAATAAACTGATTCTGTCTGCCCTGAAGGGATGTTTCTTTAATTCCTTCTTCCATAACACCATGATTTATGCTTAATATTGTTTGTAAACCACCATGGCCATTCCACAATGGCCACTACAAGCTATGTTTTGAATTGGCTGCTAGTCTGACATTTGAATTTAGCAAAAATCTGTTTGGTTTCATTTCTGAATTAAACTGCAAAGTGTGGGAAAGCCCCCTTTTAAAAAGTCCAGGTCAAGACAAGGAAGGAGGGAGGGAGGGAGGGAAAGAGAGAGAGAGAGAGAGAGAGAGAGAGAGAAGTTTAAAATGCATAGAATGCCACAATTAAGGAAAACAGGCAATAAAAATAGAGCATAAAAACTCAAGGCAATTAAAAGTTGCCTCTTAATAAAGATAATCAGCATCTTAGAGAAAATATTCCACTCACATAGCAAGAGTCCAAAAAAATTGGGAAAAAAAATTATCTTAATAAAAAGTTTTGCCTGCTGTTTGGAAATACTGTGTTTGCAACTAACTGTTTTGCTTAACCATTAATTATTGCAGAATAAATCATAATTAGAGGGTTCGCTTAACATGTTTAAATAAAGCTTGGTTTAAAGATCACATTAGCTCAGTTCAGAATACAGTAATTTATATCACAAACAAACCACATTTCGGCTCAGTGTGTTTTGTGAACTTTGCCAATGAATTCTGAGAACTGCTGGATGGCTTACTAATTGCCACTTTGGCCTGAAGTGTGTGTCAAATGAGACATATCATATCTTCAAGACTTCTGGTTTATTTTTAGTTTCTTTGGGGGAGCTCTGTGTACAGGTGGTCCTTGACTTATGACCACAACCGAGCCCAAAATTTCTGATGCTAAGTGAGACAATTGTTAAAAACATTAAGCACTATTGCAGCTTCACTTAGCAATAGCCCTTAGACTTATATACTGCTTCATAGTGCTTTATGGCCCTCTCTAAGCAGTTTACAGGGTCAATATATTGCCCCCCAAAATCTGGGTCCTCATTTTACCGACCTTGGAAGGATGGAGCCAGTGAGAATCGAACTCGTGGCAGTCAGCAGAATTAGCCTGCAATACTACATTCTAACCACTGCACCACGCAGTATTGCAGGCTAATTCTGCCAACTGCCAGCAGTTCGATTCTGACCAGCTCAAGGTTGACTGAGCCTTCCATCTTTTCAATCTCAGTGAAGTTGTGGAGAGTTTAAGGGCACCTCCAAAATAGGTCATTTGGGAAGTTGATGAGTTGATGTAAGACACCAACTCAGAAAAGTGAATTAATTTAGTCACTGGTTTAAATGAATTCAGACATTCAGTTCCACAAATATACCCACAAGTGTGGTATACCCACAATTGTGGTGTGGAAGCATCTGAGCCGTGGTGGCACAGTGGTTAGAATGCAGTATTGCAGAGTAATTCTGCCGACTGCCAGCAGGTCAACCCCGATTGGCTTCAGGTTGAGTCAGCCTTCCATCCTTCTGAGGTCAGTAAAATAAGGTCCCAGATTGTCACGGGCAATATGCTGACTGTCAACTCTGAAGCGAACCTGGCTGAAGCCATTTTGTGCTGCTTCTTAGTTGCCACGAACCCTGATAGAGGGAAATAGATAGGCTGGCTAATAGTCAAAACAAAAAAGTTTTCTTGTGGGAACCAAGGTCGTCCCAATAGGTGGCAGTGGAAGGAGGAGAGTAGCCTGCCAGCTACTTTTCATTGGACAATGTGACTGGTGACATCTGGGGAGTTGGTTTTCACTAACTGTGCCAATCTGATGTATCCAATAAAGATGTTCTTTGAGGAATCTACTTGCCTCGGAGTTCTCCTTTTGGCAGATGCGTTACTCAGAACGCTGATATTGACTTTGTAAACCGCTTAGAGAGGGCTGTAAAGCACTATGGAGCGGTATATAAGTCTAAGTGCTAATGCTATTGCTATCTCGGCAACCTCAGGAATCCACTTCCATTTCCCCCACATCCTCTTTCCCGCCCCAGTTTTTTCTCCAGAGTCCCCCCTCACCATCCAGGTGGGAACTCTCCGTATCGCTGTCTCTCACTTGAGGGATGTTGACCAAGAACTGGCTGTTATCACGCAAAACAAGTAAGGTAAGTTTTCCCTCGGACTGTTCGATCAGCTGCCGCGTCTCTTCCAAGGACATGTTCTCGCTGACAACGCCGTTGATCTAGAAGAGATGAAGAAAGGAGTCAGGTCAAGTAATGTTTTCTTTACTCAAAAGCTTATCCCCCACCTTACGTTAGGAGCAAGATGCGGATGAGCCATAGTGGCACAGTGGTTAGAATGCAGTATTGCAGGTTATTGCTCTGCCCATTGCCAGCAGTTCGATCCTGACCGGCTCAAAGTTGACTCAGCCTTCCCTCCTTCCGAGGTCAGTAACGCGAGAACCCAGATTGGTGCGAACCGGTTGAATCCCACCACTGCATATAATGTCTAAGGAACATATTTGCTTTTTCAGTGACATGACGGGAATCGTTCCTCAAAAACAGGGATATCCACCCCACTAACTATTGTGATAATAGCCACCTTTCCCAACTCACCTTGAGGATTAGGTCCCCTTCCTGCAGGGAGTTATCCTTGGCCGCCAATCCTGTCTCAGTGATGTGTTTGATGAAAATCTGGCTCCCCAGCTTCAGTCCGTATTCTTGAGTTTTCAGGAAGGGAAATTTTTTTAGAAGGGTCAGTTAGCAAAATGAACATTGTCTTCATTCATAAAGTCCTCTTCTAGTAGTGGGAGGGTATGGTTATTACAGGTGGTCCTCGACTTATGACCACAATTGGGAGCAAAATTTATCTCCTTAAGCAAGAGGGTTTTTAAGTAAGTTTTGCCCAGTTTTACGACCTCTTTTGACATGGCTATTAAATGAATCATGCAGCTGTTCAGCGAATTCAACTTCCTCCATTGATTTTTCTTGTCGGAAGCCAGCCGGGAAGTTTGCATATGGTAATCACAAGATCCCAGGATGCAGCAACCATTGCAAATAGATGCCACTTGCCAAGCGCCCAAATTTTGATCATGTGACCGTGGGGATGCTGCAACAGTTGTTAAGTGTGAGGACCAGTCATGAATCACTGTTGTGACCAGTGGTGAAATTCAATTTTTTTTTACTACTGGTTCTGGGGGCGTGGCTTGGTGGGCATGGTGTGGCTTGGTGGGTGTGGCAGGGGAAGGATTCTGCAAAATCCCCATTCCCACCCCACTCCTGGGGGAAGGATATTGCAAAATCTCCATTCCCACCCCCACTCCAGGGGAAGGATACTGCAAAATCTCCATTCCCACCCCACTCCTGGGGGAAGGATATTGCAAAATCTCCACTCCCACCCCTCTCCTGGGGGAAGGATATTGCAAAATCTCCACTCCCACCCCACTCCTGGGGGAAGGATATTGCAAAATCTCCATTCCCACCCCACTCCAGGGGAAGGATACTGCAAAATCTCCATTCCTACCCCACTCCAGGGGAAGGATACTGCAAAATCTCCATTCCCTCCCCACTCCTGGGGGTAGGATATTACAAAATCTCCATTCCCTCCCCACTCCAGGGGAAGGATATTACAAAATCTCCATTCCCTCCCCACTCCTGGGGGAAGGATATTGCAAAATCTCCATTCCCACCCCACTCCAGGGGAAGGATACTGCAAAATCTCCATTCCCACCCCATTCCTGGGGGAAGGATACTTCAAAATCTCCATTCCCCCCCTCACTCCAGGGGAAGGATACTGCAAAATCTCCATTCCCTCCCCACTCCAGGGGAAGGATATTGCAAAATCTCCATTCCCTCCCCACTCTGGGACCAGCCAGAGGTGATGTTTGGTTCTCTCTCCGAACTACTCAAAATTTCTGCTACCGGTTCTCCAGAACCTGTTAGAACCTGCTGGATTTCACCCCTGGTTGTGACTTTGAATGGTTGCTAAATGAATGGTTGTAATTCGAGGACTGCATGTACAAGGGACAAGCCTTTCATTTCAGACAGTTTCCCCTTAGAATTATTTATTTTTTAAACACTCACTTTTGGCCTTTATCTTGATCATTTGACATTTACTGTTCAAAGGGTTCCACTGAATGCACAAGTCTGTGCATTCAGATGAACATTCAGATGCAAAATTAGAATTTTGGCAGCTCAGACAAATCGGTGTTTTTAAAAAACTAGGCAAATTTAAAATGGGTATCTATGGAGAGTCTCAGTCATCCAGGTCATGGTTGTCCCAAAGGTGCTTTTTCAAGAGGCAACTGGACTTTCCGTTTTTTCTTTGAAGACGTTTTGCTTCTCATCCAAGAAGCTTCTTCAGCTCTGACTGGATGGTGGGGAATGGGGATGGGTGGACTTCAGCTCCCAGAATTCCGCTATGTTGACTGGAGGATTCTGGGAATTGAAGTCCTCCCATGTTAAACTTGCTTAATTTAAAAAACACTGAGATAGATGAACTGCATTAGTCAGAGAAAGTAGCAGAGAGAAAAATAAAGAAGTGTACAGCTGATCCTCCACTTATAACCAACGTTTCCATTGCTAAGCAACACAATCGTTAAGTGAGTTTTGCCCCATATTATGACCTTTCCTGGCACAGTTGTAACAACTGCAGTTGTAAGTTAGTAACATGGTTGTTAATTGGTTTCCCCACCGAGTGCTTGTCAGCAGGTCACAAAAATTGATCACATGACCCTGCAACAGTCATAAGTACATGCCAGTTGCCAAGCATTTGACTTTTGATCACGTGACCACGGGGATGCTGCCACGGTCGTAAGGGCGAAAAGCAGTCATCAGTCACTTTTTTCAGTGCCGTTGCAACTTCGGTCATTAAACGAATTGTTGTTAGTGGAGGACAACCTGTACCTTAATTTGGCACAGCAGAACAGGATAAATGGGTGAAAAAAAGAAAGTTAATTGTTCACCTTCACTCTCCTTCCTTTTCACCAAAACCGAGCGGACTGGTTTCATTGGCACGTCCTGCCTTGGCAGTCTCTTAAACCCAGACATCAGGACAAGCCCACTGGTGCTTCCTTTGTGATGGTGCCCATTGGCCAGAGGGGGCCTATCAGACCCACTGTCTTGGCTCCGCCTCTGGTAGCCCCCCTCTTGGCTCCGCCTCCGGCTCCTGAGGGGCTGCCTGCGGGTGCTGTCATTGTCATCCTCACGATAATGTCCCGAACTTCTCTCGCTGGACGAGTCCCCATCGTAACCGCGGTTATGTTCTGCTTCTGTCCGCTGCCGGCTCTGCCCGGGATGTCTGCCCGAGGGGGCTGACTCACCACCTTGGTACCCATAATCCTCATCCGAGTCATCGTTTCTCCCATCCGTTACATGTTTAGTAGGAGTCAAGGAAGGCTGGCTTCTCGGCTGGCTGGATTTGGCAACTGGCAGATGGATTTTTCTGGGTCTTTTTACCGTCTGCAATAAGAGAAAGAGAATTTGCATCTGGGCTAATGTTTCTCAATCTTGGTAACTTAAAGATATGTGGACTTCAATTCCCAGAATTCCCAAGCCAGGGGAATTCTGGGAATTGAAGTCCAAACCTGTTAGAACTTAGTAAGGTTGACAAACACAGCTCGGGGCTGTCCGCTTTATTAAATAAATAAATAAAAAACCACCCCAAAATCTGTGCAACAAAAGATTCAAACCATCAGGTGAATTAAAACGGAAGTATGAAAAGTTGTAATTTTTTTAGGCAACTTGTTCACTTTTCCTGTCATGGGGAGGAGAATATTCAACTCCCACTCAGCAAAAACTTTGGCATAATGGTTTTCCTCAACCTTTTTTTCAAGCTTGACAGAGATTTTGCCTCAACATTAAAAAATAACGAGGGCTACAAAATTACTGAAACTGGATTGTGATGCCGTTTCCTAGCAGTCAAACCATAGTCAACTTTAATAACAGAGCCAGTTTAATCGAATGGCTAAGACACCAGGCTAGAAATTGGGAGACCGTGAGTTCAAATCCTGCCTTAGGCACCATAGCTGTCTGGGTGACTTTGAGCCAGTCATTCTCTCTCAGTCCAACCCACCTCACAGGGTTGTTGTTCTGAGGAAAATAGGAGGAGAAAGAAGTATTAGGTATGTTTACTGCAGTGTTGGGTTGCCCCCGTTCTCTCACTGGTTCTATAGAACCAGTAGTAAAACCGACGGGAGGCTCCGCCCACTGACCCTGACATCATCAAAATGCTTCTGCGCATGCGCAGAAAAGTGCGCGGCGGCGAGCAAAGCAAGCGCGCGTGCGCGGCCCGGCCTTGCAAACCGGTAGTAAAGGTAAGTAGAACCCACCCACCCTGGTTCACTGCCTTGAGTTATTTGTAAAAGTAATAAAGGTGGGATACCAATAAATAAATATAAATATACAGTATGATCGGTGGTGGGTTTCTACCGGTTTGCCCCAGATTGGGCGAATCGGTAGTGGCGGCGGCGGAAGACTGCACCCACCCGCCCAGACGTCATCACAGACACTCTGCACATACGCAGAAGGTTCTGCGCATGGGCAGAAGTGCTGCGTGCACGCTCCCAGTTCCGAACCGGTAGTGAAGGTAAGTGGAACCCACCACTGAGTATGATACATTTATTTTATTTTTTATTTTATTTCAAATTTATATACCGCACCTTCTCTCGAAAGACTCAGGGTGGTGTACAGCCAGATAAAAACATACAATACAAACATTAAAAAACAATTAAAAGGATATATATTAATTTGGCCCCAGTTTAAGATAACAAACCAATTAAAAATTAAAAATATTTTTTAAAAAATGTTAGGCCAGCCCAGCTTGCTGGAAAAAGAAGGTTTTAAGGGCACGGCGGAAGGCACCGAGGTCTTGGATTCTCCTTATCTCTGGGGGCAACTGATTCCAGAGGGTAGGTGCCCCCACAGAGAAGGCCCTCCCCCTGGGGGTCACCAGCCTACATTGTCTGGCTGATGGCACCCCGAGGAGGCCCTCTCTGTGGGAGCGCACGTAGATCTGTCACTCCTATTTTTATAGGATGAGCAAGGAAACCAGAATAACAGAATAACGAAGTTGGAAGGGACCTTGAAGGTCTTCTAATCCAGCTCAAGCAGGAACTCCTACCTATACATTCCACACAAATGGTTGTTCCATCTCTTCCCCTGGTTAATCGTTTTAACTGCCACAAAATTTCTCCTTAATTCTAGGTTGGTTCTCTCCTTGATTAGTTTCCACCCATTATTTTTTGTTCTGCCTTCAGGCGCAGAAACCAGGACATCTTTACCTAACCTCAGCTTTCATTTTTCTGAACTGAAAAGCTATCATTATCTGAACAAGTCAGGATACTCAACCATTATCAAACTTGACTTCAGCTTCTTGGCTCATTCTGAGTATAGGTTAACCTTAGCCAGGGATGGGATTCAGCCGGTTTGGACCGGCGAACCGGATGCTAATTTTACATCTGGTTCGCCGAACTGGTTGTTGCAAGGATTGGCTGGCCCCACCCACCCTGCCCCTCTCCTCCCAGGAATCTCCACGTGGCCCGTTTTGGGATGCCAGGTAAGTGCAGGGCCCGCACAGAGGCTCTGGGAGGGCGAAAAACGGGCCTTCCGGAAGTTCCGGAAACAGGCCCATTTCCGGCCTCCGGAAGGCTTCTGGAGGCCATTTTCGCCCTCCCAGAGGCTCAAGGAAAGCCTCCAGAGCCTGAGGAGGGTGAAAATGCCCCCCCCCGCCGCCGTGGTACAGGAGGCCAAGTAGGCCACACTCACCCATCAAATGGGCAGAGAACTGGTTGCTAAAGTTTTTGAATCCCACCCGTGACCTTAGCTAATCTTGCAAAAAAAGAAAGAAAGAAAGAAAAGGACAAAAAGATTTGGAAGTCCTGCCCCTTCTCCAACCGAGCTGCTTCAGCTGCACTCACAATATTAGCCAACTTGCCACAGGTTTTCAAAGTGGAAATGGCGAAAGACGAAGACACGTTCTCCATGGAGAGGCCATTGACCATGGCAATCTTGTCCCGGGTCCTGCAAATGTAAACAGGGAGTTAAGTCAAGCCCTAACAAGTGAGAAAGAAGCCACGACATTTCCCCTCTCCTCTTTCTTTTCCCAAAACATTTAAAAGAGTATTAAAAATCTCTTCAACCTGCTTTTACCACATGGGACATCCCACCCACCCCACCGTGGTCTGCAAATGGAAGTACTTTTACTGTGCTCCTTTAGGAAACCATAAGGTTCTAGTCCTCATTGTTCCAAATGAACAGACTAGAATACAATAGTAACATAGGAAGCTGGCTTACACAGCTTACTTTTTAACCTATATTTTTTACAATCATTCCTGTTCCTGGCTTCTTCAGAAATCACAAATGGGGTTTAATGCACCCGTATTTAGAGATGTCAGAATTGGATCTATCTATGGCATATAAGCCAAGGACACAGCCTATTTCCCATCTTGAGACCTTCTCCATGTAAAAAACCAATAAAAATATTTTTTAAAGCAGCATCAGTGGTGGGTTTCAAATTTTTTTACTACTGGTTCTGTGGGTGTGGCTTGGTGGGTGTACCATTGCTTGGTGGGCGTGGCAGGGGAAGGATACTGCAAAATCTCCATTCCCACCCCACTCCAGGGGAAGGATCCTTTAAAATCCCCATTTCCTCCCAATCAGCTGGGATTCGGGAGGCAGAGAATAGATGAAGGCGGGGCCAGTCAGAGGTGGTATTTACCGGTTCTCCGAACTACTCAGAATTTCCGCTACCGGTTCTCCAGAACTGGTCAGAACCTGCTGAAACCCACCTCTGAGTAGCATGCACACAAATACAGTTGTTTGAGATAGCAAAGAAATATCGTGGCATAATGTGGCACAATGGAAGTAAAGTGCCAAGAAGAGGATGCCAAGATCACCTACCCGAAGCAGAGAGTTTGACCATTTGACCATTTAACGTTTACATATAGTCCTCAATTTGCAACCACAATGGAGCCTGGAATTTCCATCATACAGGAAAATATGGAAATAATCAGTGGTGGACTGCAACCGATTTAACAATCGGTTCGGTGAGCGCGCGCTTCGCCTAACGCGCTTGCACACAGCGTTCAAAATATAGCAATTTGAAGCTCAGCTGCTTACCTTCTAAGGCAGCCCCAATAAGTAGAACTGTGGAGGCGCGGAAATCAGCTGTGCGACGTGAATCAGCTGAGCCAGAAAGAAGGAAATATAGCACAGGATAGGGCGGGGCCAGGTGGGCGGGGCCAGCTGATTGTCAGAACTACCGGTTCGCCTGAACCAGTCTGAACCGGCAGCAGCCCACCACTGGATATAATGCTGAGGCACTCACATGACAGACCCAATTTTGTGACCTTTTTTTTTGCAGGGTGAACACTGCAGTCGTTAAGCAAATTACTCATTCCTATGGGTGGAAACTGACCCAAAGGGTAGGTTTTCCAGCCCCAAAAATCAGAAATTGCATCATGTGACTGCAGAATGCTACAACCGGTCATAAAGATGAGCCAGTTGCCATGTGACCAAAATGCAGTCACGTGTCTGTTCTGTGCGCGTTGTGTGTGTGTTTGTATGTGTGTGTTTGTGTGCGCCACCTTTAGCACTCCAGAATCGGATGATAGGTCCCTTTTTGGGGCGAGTGGTTGTTGTAACTTTGAATGCTTGCTAAGTGACCAATTGTAAGTGGAGGGCTACCTCTAAGCGCTATAAGTAAGAAATATTATCCTGTTTTTTTCACCAGAAACATCTCAGCTAAGGTGGGTACAGTGTAGGCACTGAGCGAGCAAGCAAGTTAGTGCCCAAAGAGATAATTTACACAATTGGCGTCCCCACAAAGCATGGCCCAATTGTCAGCCATTGGTTAAACTGAGTGGTGAAATCCAATTTTTTTTACTACCGGTTCTGTGGGCGTGGCTTGGTGGGTGTGGCTTGGTGGGCGTGGCAGGGGAAGGATACTGCAAAATCCCCATTCCCTCCCCATTCCTGGGGGAAGAATATTGCAAAATCTCCATTCCCACCCCACTCTGGGGCCAGCCAGAGGTGGTATTTGCAGGTTCTCCCAACTGCTCAAAATTTCCACTACCGGTTCCCCAGAACCTGTCAGAAGCTGCTGGATTTCATCCTTGGTTAAACTGCTATGACATCACAGAAGGCAAACAGCAACTGGGTCTTGGCAGTCCCAGAGAAAAACTTTCATTTTTCCCTGATTCGTGAATTTGCTTGTTTAAAGCAGGGATCACCAACCTTTCGAACCTCAGGGACCACTAAATTCATAATTTTAAATCCATGGACCACTAATATGATCTGCCTAATGACCAGCCGGGTGGGCGTGGCTAGGTGGTCATGGGACTGGGTGGACATGGCCAACTCGATGTCACTCATGTTGAGGGACGCCTTGCCAGCCTCTACTCGCTACACCTCACCTGCCCGCCCGGGCTCCTTCGGGCCTCAACAGGAAGCAGTTGCTGGAGCTAAACAGCCACCACGAGAAAGAGTTGGCAAAAGAGTTCAGTTCAAATTGGATCTGACTGAGAAGGAGTCTCAGCAGAAGCACCTCACTGAGGACTAGAAGCATAGGCTTTCCAAGCAAAGGGAAGACCTGCGGGAGTGCAAGGCCAGGTACCAGCGCCTGGAGGCTCAGAGGGCTGAGACGGTCAGCAGTTCCAGGACATGATGCAGTCCCACTGGAACGAAGCCTTCCGGCTCTTTGTCACCAGTGGTGCTTCCCCTCAGCCTTCGCCCAAAGCCCCGCACCAGGAGGCTGAAGCAGACCCCAAGTCAGAATTTCTGCCCCCCTCTGACCCACACAAAAAGACCCTGAAGGGGGAGACTCTCTGCAGCAACACAAACCTTCATTGCACATATCCGGCCCAGGGGCCGTAGTTTGAGGACCCCTGATTTAGTGTAATATAAAAAATGTGAATATTTTTTCTGCGGACCATCAAAATTTTCTCACGGACCACCAGTTGGTGAACGCTGGTTTAAAGTACTCACTGGAGTCGTCCAACAGCCGGGCCTCCAGGCACCACATCTGATATGACAATAGAGGTATCGCCATCTGAACTGTTTGGACGATCGCGGCCACCCGAAATGGCAATGCCAAAACCCTTCCGGGGATCCTGCACGAAAGGAGAAATGGTTAAGATCTTTCCCCAAACTTCTTGTTGCAAGAAAATCGAAAACAACCCAAGGCCAAAGGAAGAAGGCATAAGGATATAGCAACTGATATAAGAAGTAAATGCAAAATTTCTTTTGGGTGGGTTGTTGGTGCTCTCTGAGTTTGGTGGTTTTCTTGAAGATGTTTCATTACCAAACTAGGTAACATGATCAGGGTTAATATGAAATTGGGGTTTTGCTCTGAATGTTGTGGTCCCCCAGCAGCCTGCGGAGCTGGCAGCGGAGTCGGACAGTGAAGAGGCTGGGCAGGACTATGGGCCAGTCCTGGAGTCTGGGGAAGGCCCGGACGAGGGCTCTGCATCGGAGACAGAGATGGGCCAGGGCAGGGGTGAAATGTAAAAATGTTTGCTACCGGTTCTGTGGGTGTGGCTTGATGGGCGTGGCTTGGTGGTCATGTGACCGGGTGAGCATGGCCAACTTGACGTCACTCGCTGTTAGAGCCAGGAGCTGCACATTTTGAAGCTCATTCTGCCCTTCTGAAGCCCCCAACGCTTTGAGTTTCCCTCCACCACCCAAGCGAACATCGGAGCCTTGCCTTGCAGAAGCAGAATCCAGGCACAGAAATGGAAAAACGAGGGGGGGGGGAATGGGAAGGAGAAATGTAATTAGCAGAATCCAGCTCTGGATTCTGGGGAGGAGAAGGTGTAAGAAGACATTTCCTTAGATCACTGACGCTCCCAACAATGAGTTTGGCGGCGATCTAAGGAAATATCTTCCAGCTCTTCTAGATTGACTTTAAGCCGACAGCAAAAGTAGGGGGGGGGCAACAGGGACGTGTGTGTTTGTGTGTGTGTTATGTCCCTCCCTCCGCAAGGACTTGGAGGCAGACGCTGCCCCTCTGAGGAAAAGAGGAGGCGGCGAAGCCCTGCCTGTCACCTGGGAGAGGAGGAGGGCACGCTGGGAAGGGAGTACACTGCTAGCTACCTTCCCTGCAGCCCTGCGAAGCTTGCCTGCCTTCCACATGGCCTTCCGCTTGCCTGCCTTCGCAAGCTGGTCACGGAAAGGCTGCATGGAAAGGCAGGGAAGCATGGCAGGACTGCGGTCTGTGGCCCGGTTTGGGGGCGTGGCCAGCCACCAATTGCTACCGGTACGGCGAACTAGCCTCAATCTCCGCTACCTACTCGCCCAAGCCGGTCCGAACCGGGAGGGTGGGCCAGGGCTACCTGGGAGTGATGCATGGACTCCGGAGCCTCCAGAGTCGGACAGCACAGAGGCAGAGGAACAGAAGGAGCCTGTTCCTAGTACACGCGTGCGCAGAGCTGCCAGAAGGCAAGAGCAGCTAAAGCAAAAAGGATGACTCAGGAGTAAGGCCAGGAGATGATTGGCCCCTCCCATAAGGCTTAAAAGAGCAGCAAAGGCTCTTGGGCTCTTTGTAGGAAAGCAACGTTGCTATATCTGTTTCCAGTCGGCGTCTCTTGTTTCTGAACTTTGTGGGGCTTTGCCAAGAAAGGCCTTTGGCAGGGTGCCAAAGAAGATAAAGGTTTGTGATAAGCCCAAAGGACTTCTTCTGAAAGACTTGGTTTGCAATTAATTTGGACTAAGATGGGAATGAAGTAATTCTCAGCTGTTATAATAAAATAGGTTTGTTTGGGACTAATTGTAGTGTAATGACTAAGTGAGCCTAGGTCACAACACTGCACTTTCTATTAGCACGGATGATGCTACCTAAATTGGTACCGTAATGCAAGAAAACCACCAAGCTCACAAAGCACCAAGGTCCCCACAGTTTAACCCTGAGCTACAAATATTCTCTTCTATTTCTTTTGTTCTATTATTTATTTACTGAGATTCAAGGACTGAGTAAACCCTAGCAAGTCCACAAATTCTAATGATCACATTATGCCAAAGGCGCTTTTTCAAAAGGCAACTGGACTTTGTCTTTCCTTGAAGAAGTTTCGCTTCTCATCCAAGAAGCTTCATCAGTTCTGACAGTCAGAACTGAAGAAGCCTGTTGGATGAGAAGCAAAATGTCTTCAAGGGAAAAGAAAGAAAGTCCAGTTGCCTTTTGAAAAAGCACCTTTGGGACAACCATGACCTGGATGACTGAGAATCTCCATAGAGTCATAGATTATGAATGCATTCTAAATAAAATAATTATTAAAATAAAATAATTGTAAGTATTTTCTATTTTTACTCTCTGATTATTGGCGTAAATATATATAGGGATATTTTGACGAGGTTACACTGTGATAGAAAAATTATTATACATTTGTTTTTGATTTTTTTAACTATAATAAAAAAAATTAATTAAAAAATTAATAAATAAAATAATTATATAACAAAATAATATTAAATTAATATAATAAAATTTATTATATATATATAATACAAGTCAATTTATTCCACATTAAAAAAATCTATGAATATTGCAGATAGAAAAACAAAAGAAAAAATATTAATATGAAAACTAACATTTCAAACATGGAAATATGGAGGCATAAAACACATGTGGCGTGAAATTATTACTATTTATTCAATTCTTATGGTGGCTTCTACAATGCCTCTACTTACCCGATTCAATGTAATGGTATATTGCTCCCAGATGGTCATTTCCTCCATCTCTGCAACCTAAAAGACCACCAAAAGGGAAAAAATTATTGAAAAATCCCAGAATTCTGGAAGTGAAAGACATGCCAGGATCATCTATCTACCGGTTTCCCAAACATTTTGGTTTGTTTACTCTTTTACATGCTGAAGAATGATTGAGAATCTCTAAGAGCTTTGTTTTATGTGAATGACATATCTATCAATATTGACTGAAAAAATTAAAACTGAGAAATGTAAGAATATTAAAAAGGTTCCACATTTAAGCAAGAAAAACAAAATGCACAGACACAATATATGTGGTACCTGGCTCAATTGTGAGAGGGCTCTTGGAGCCCTACTGGACAATCACTTAAATATGAGCCAGCTGTGTGCTGCAGCTTCCAAAAAAACCAATGCATTGCTAGGTTGCATTAACAGAGGGACAGAATCAAGATCACATAAAGTGTTAATACTGCTTTATAATGCCTTGGTAAACCATACTTGGAATACTGCATCTAATTTTGGTTGCCACGATGTAAAAAAGATGTTGAGACTCTAGAAAGAGTGCAGAGAAGAGCAACAAAGATAATTAGGGGACTGGAGGCTAAAACATATGAAGAACGGTTGCAGGAACTGGGTATGTCTAGTTTAATGAAAATAAGAACTAGGGGTGACATGATAGCAGTGTTCCACTATTTGAGGAGTTGCCACAAAGAAGAGGGAGTCAAGCTATTCTCCAAAGCACCTGAAGGCAGGACAAGAAGCAATGGGAAACTAAGCAAGGAGAGAAGCAACCCAGAACTAAGGAGAAATTTCCTGACAGAACAATTAATCAATGGAACAACTTGCCTCTAAAAGTTGTGGATACTCCATCACTGGAAGTTTTTTAGAAAAGATTGGACAACTATTTGTCTGAAATGGTGAAGGGTTTCCTACCTGAGCAGGGGGTTGGACTAGACAACCTTCAAGGTCACTTCCAACTGTATTATTTTGTTATTAGATTTCATAAGCACCACCACCATTTAAAGAACTACTGGTTTAATCCAGCCTCTGCCATGCACAGTAATGCCTTAATTCTGTGTTTCCCAATCTTGGTAGGTTTTTAAGAGTTGTGGACTTCAATTCCCAGAATTCCCCACCCAGCATGTTAACAAGGTTGGGAAACCCTGACTTAATCCATCCTTGAGAGATGGCCATCCAGGATCTTCTTCTCCAGTGATGGAGAACCATGAGCAGCCCGTTTCCTCTGTTTTTATGTATTTAATTTCTATCCCAAGTGACCCTGGGCAGCGACAAACTTACAGAATGTACAGATTCTACTTAAGGACGGAAGGCTGGCTGGGGAATTCTGAGAGTTGGGAGTCCACACATCTTAAAGTGGCCAAAATTAAAAAGCATTGTCCTAGACCAGGGATGTCAAACTCTATTTCATTGAGGGCCACATCAGGATTGTGTTTGTCCTCGAGGGGGAAAGGGCTGGGGGCAGGGGGTGTGGCCAACTCAATGTTACTCGTAGGGGGGAGCACCTGTGGTGGCCCAAGTGCTCTGTCAGAGAAACGGGGCTCCCGAGCTCCATTTCCAGGAGCGATGGCCTCCTGCAATCTTCTGCCAGCGAAAACGGAGTTCGGGAGGGATGCACGGGACCCTCGCAAACTCCGTTTCCGGCTGCGATGGCCTCCTGCAACTCTCTGCCAGCTCCATTTTAGGCTGTGACAGCCTCCTGCAACCCTCTGCCAGCAAAAACAGAGCTTGCAAGGGCTGCACGCGGCCCTCCCGAGTTCCGTTTTTGCTGGCAGAGGCAACGCGGGCCGGTCCCTCACTGTTTCCAGGGTGGCCCCTTGGGCCAGATCTAAGCACTCAGCGGGCCGGATCCAGCCTGCAGGCCTTGAGTTTGACACCCCTGTCCTAGACACATGAAGTTGACTCCAGGATTTACAGTTTTGATTGACGTTTCATTCTCCAAACCTTTTCAACAACCACGGATGTTTTTTATAACTCCACAGCACTTTATACAATTACTGTGTAGTTGTATAACTACACAACCGTTGCAGTTTTGGAAAAAGAAAAGCTAAAAGCCAATTTAGAGCTGACTTTGAATATGATTTTCCTGTCCTCCTTTTAAGTGGAAGGACTGGATGGTATTTTGCAGCGGAAACGTAACACCGAAATATTTTAAGGAAAGGAAAAGTAGGTCATCTTTGAAGCAAATCTTACCACCCGCTTCTTGCCAAGGAGCCAGAAGACGAAAGATACTTCCCTGCAAACTCCTTGAGGGATTGTGCACAGCCTTTTGTGGTATATTTATGGAAACAATTCTCAAGGCATTTGCAAGTAAATGCCCCAGACAAATCTGCCAATGCAATTAAATGCAAAGGGAGACGTGCCCTTCTGTTGTGCTTTTAAATTCAAAAATGGGATTTCAAAATCAGGAGGTCAGGCTCCCTGATAGTGTTGTATATTCACTGAGATGAGCTGCAAAATGCCAAGAAAACACTAATTTCAGACGTTCCCCTGGTCCCGCCGTGCAAACCAATTAGCACCATGAGATTCTAAGTGTAGACAATTCTCTCGAGTCATGTGCAACTTCTGGTAATTTTTTTCTTGGCGCTGATTTTTTATTTATTTGCACGTTTATTTTTAACCCCACCTTTATTGTTGTTTATAAATCATTCAGTAAAATAACATGAACATGATTATGATTTTGCTGCTGCTTTCTTCTAGGTAGGATATTAGGGTCAGGTGAGAAAGACCAAGCCCATATGTTCAATTAAATTGATTTATTGCTAAAAGCTATGCACAGGAATCTTCTCAACCAAAGGTCAGCACCGGTTTAGAGTTAGGTAAGATTCAATGGCACTCAAGGGGGATTTTGGACTCATTTATGGCTACATAGGGATTCTCTAGGCTGATCCCTCTTATAACTCCACCCCCAAGTTCTGCTGCTCATTCTACAATTTTCTTCATTACCAATCTAGATTTACTGGTGGTCTCCCATCCCCATTCTAATTCTAGGTTTCTTCTCTCTTTGATTAGTTTCCACCCATTCCTTGGCAGGAAACCCTATACCATTTCAGACAAATGGTTGTCCAATCTCTTTATAAAAACATCCAGTGTTGGAGCATTCACAATTTCTGGAGGCAAGTTGTTCCACTGACTGATTGTTCGCACAGGAAATTTCTCCTTAGTTCTAGATTGCTTCTCTCCTTGATTAGTTTCCACCCATTGCTTCTTGTCCTGCCTTCAGGTGCTTTGGAGAATAGCTAGACTCCCTCTTCTTTGTGGCAGCCCCTGAAATATTGGAACACTGCTATCATGTCACCCCTGGTCCTTCTTTTCATTAAACTACAAATACCCAGTTCCTGCAACCATTTTTCATATGTTTTAGCCTCCAGTCTCCTAATCATCTTTGTTGCTTTTCTCTGCACTTGTTCTAGAGTCTCCACATCTTTTTTACATCATGGTGACCAAAACTGAATGCAGAATTCCAAGTGTGGCCTTACCAAGGCATTATAAAGTGGTATTAACACTTCACGTGATCTTGATTCTATCACGGCTGGCTCATATTTCTGTAATTGTCCAACTCAGTGTCTCTTAATGATTGGCACAATTACCCAACAGCTTTCATACCTAAGGTGGAACTAGAACTTACAGTCTCCTGGTTTCTAGCTGGTGCCTTCATCACTAGACCAAACTGGTTTTCTGGGACAAGACTTTAATTGCATTCTTGCAATCATCACCATCTTGGTGATTGGTGAAGCATCTTTTTTGATTGCTTCCCTCCACCAAGTACCTTGCCTGAGCCCATTTCAGCTGGGGAGGGGAAAGTAATAATACTCACTGAGATCTAGCAGCTTGTAAGATTTATCATGTCATTTGGGATATTAATGGAAAGTCCTCTCACACAATAAAAGAGGGAAAAGTACAAAGTAAACTGCAAAGCATTTTGTGCTGAACTGCTCCACTGTTAACAGTTCATAAGTGCATAATTTAATTTAGTGCACAACTGCATTTCAAAAGAATTTCAGAATACCATATTTTGAGTACTGTACTCTGGAAATATGACCAGAATATGCTCAGAATGTACAGTTTTGGGGTCAAAATGATCCTCAACTGTTCAAAATGTTTGCACTCCAAATAGGGCATCTACCAACATTTCATGCACAGCCTCGGGGAGGGGGGTGGGAATCAACCTGTTTTGGTGCACATGATGTTATGAACTGAAAGTACTTCATATAAGGAAGTCTCCATGTTTGCAAACTGTAGAAATATGCAATTAAAGAACAAAAGCTTGAATCTATCTAGTAAAATCATTTAATATGTTTGAATATAGTCTTATATAACTGTATTGACCTTCTGTACACTGTCTAAAAAAAATGGCCTGTTTATTTTTTCCTTCTTGGTCTGTAACACTAGAATAGAATAGAATAGAATAGAATAGAATAGAATAGAATAGAATAGAATAGAATAGAATAGAATAGAATAGAATTCTGTGATTGGACACACAAGGAATTTGTCTTTGGTGCATATGCTCTCAGTGTACATAAAAAGAGAAGATACATTCGTCAAGAATCATAAGGTACAACACTTAATGATAGCCATAGAGGACAAATAAGCAATCAAATCCTACTAGGAAACAATCAATATAAATCATAAGGATACCAGCAACAAGGTTACAGTCATACAGTCATAAGTGGGAGGAGATGGTGAAAGGAACGATGAGAAGATTAATAGTAATAGTAATGCAGCCTTATTGAATAGTTTGACAGTGTTGAGGGAATTATGTGTTTAGCAGAGTAATGGCATTTGGGAAAAAACTGTTCTTGTGTCTAGTTGTTCTGGTGTGCAGTGCTCTATAGCATCGTTTTGAGGATAGGAGTTGAAACAGTTTATGTCCAGGATGCGAGGGGTCTTAGAATTCTAGTAACACAGTAATTTTTCAAAGGTATGGAGCTTAGACAGACTTGCAAAATTGCAGCCACAATACAGATTACTCCCACAATTGGGACCAAAATTTCCATTGCTAAGCAAGCTGGTTGTTAAGT